AAAAAAAGGCCACAAGGTTTTTGCGCATCTGAGCTGGTCTTAACTAGAAAGAGAGAGTGTCATGAGATTCGATAACAGATGAGCTCGAGTTACTGGTTCTAATTATCAACAAAAGGTATGCTTTAAATGTTAAAACAAAGTGTATTGACTATATTGTCTAATGCTTTCAGCTTCCAGTTGGATTTAGCAATTACTATCTAAGTTAGTAGGTGGGATTATGGAGGTAAGGTAACAACGAGTAGAAAGGCAATCGATATTGAATGCAAATGAAAACCTAAAGTGCCTTTTTAGGGAATATTGGGAATCTAAGGGAACTAATAAATTTTGTGCTGAACAATTTTAGAAATATTCAGAAACATTAAGAATTAATGAGGCCATTAGAAGTAGTAAGATCATTTTTAAAGTTGTTTATTTTTCTTAATGAAAATTAGAGTGTGTTCATTTCTCCGAAAATCGTGAGTAATCGGTTTGGACCGGACTATCCGTCCCAAAGTTGATTCTTACCAAATAACACAACAATTTGACAAAAAGTTTTAATAGATTATAGATTTATAGTTGTAACAATTTATATCAACTTGGTGGAATCACGATCCACTGGTGGTGCAATTTCCTTAGTTAAGTGGTACAAGACCGCCGAGATCATCAACGGTGTTCAAGCTTGACGAACAAGGAAACCCTCTTTACACTCAAGACATTGGAGATCTTTGCATGTACCTCTCAAAATCTGAACCTTTTTGTGTCCCTGCTGGCTCATTTCCCGGTCTCCGCTCTAACCATGTCATAATCTACGACGTCGACCAAGCCGGATTTGTCTTTTTGGATGATTCACGCATCATTGGTGAGAATTCTACATTCAGGGCCCCTTTCCATATTCCACCTACAAATATGAACAACTAGCACGTTACTTAGTTTGGAATTCTCTTTCTTTTTTCTTTATAAGTAAACGATATTATTATGTCTTTTAATATAAATTCCATGAATATGCTTTTCTGAGCTAATGACTACATGCAATCAAAAAATCATTCAAAGATCAGATTAATATGTTTTTAGCAAATCATTTTTTTGGCAATTAATCAGAAAAGTCAACAAAGTCGAGAGTTTGTCCTGCGCTAAACATCAGCTAAAGGACACATATATTAAAGGGCAATCGACAAAAATAGCACTAAAATAAGTTTTTATTCCAAAAATAACACTACATTTTAAAAGTTCCACAAATAGCACTATAAACTTTAATTAAATATTTAATATAATTAATTAGTTTAATTAAAATAAGTAAATAAATAAAGTTGGAAATTTTCTACCAAAATTTAATTTTTCCGCCAAAAAAATTTCGCAACGTAAAAATATTTTCCCGCCAAAAATATTTTATCAAAATTTTCCCGCCAATTTTTTTTTTTCAACATTTTTCCGCAAAAAAAAATCCCATCAAAATTTTCCCGCCAAAAAAATCCGCAAAATTTAGGAAGGATTTCACGAAATTCAGGAATGATTTCTTGAGTTTCGGGAAAGGATTCCTTAAAGGATTGCACGAAATTCAGGAAGTATTCAACGAAATTCAGGAAGGATTTCACGTAATTTAGGAAAGATTTCATAAATTCATGAATTTTAGGAAGGATTTCACGTAATTTAGGAAGGGTTTCCCGATTCGTGAAATCCTTCCTAAATTTCGTGGAATCCTTCCTGAATTTCTTGGATTTTTTTTGGCGGGAAAGTCGGACGAAAATTTTTTTGGCGGGAAAATTTTGACGATTTTTTTTTTCGGGAGCGGAAAATATTTTGGCGGGATATTTTGAAGAAAATTTTGTTGGCGGGAAAATTTTGACGGAATTTTGTTTTGGCAGGAAAACATTAACGATGATTTGTAATTTTCTGTATTTATTTATAATTATTTATTAATTTAAAAAATAAAAAATAAGGTGCTATTTTTGTCTAATAAACTTTTGAGTGCTATTCTTATCCCAAAAACTTTATTTGGGTTTATTAGACGCAATTTCTCTATATTAAACAACTTGAGAATACAAAGAAACTTATAATTTCACAAATCCATAGTCAGGCTCGTCTAGTTATAACAAACAAATTCATGAGATTGTTTTCAATCTAGTATCTAATGAGATTTACACAATAACCAAAATACTTTTTAAGCAAATCAAACATTATCACCATATAAAATAGTTCGTATTTAAATTGGCGCATACTATTTTATCAAACAGTGAGAGAGAAAAATGTGAATCACCAATTTGAAAAAACAAATTTCATATACTAAGATTTATGTGATGTTTTAAAAATTAAATATGTATTATTAGTGGAGGGTTTGACAGTGATTAAAACGAAATCGAATTAAGATTATATCGGATCTTTGTGAGCAAATCCTTTCCTCTATATTAAGATTATATCGGATCTTTGTGAGCAAATCTTCGGTGGCTCAAATTCGGATTATAAGGAATATCTTGGAGACGTTTTGCGTGGCGTCGGGACAGAAAGTCAGCTTGGAAAAATCGAAAATATTTTTCTCTAATAATGTCTCCAGAGACTTGGAAAAGTTGATTAGCGACGAGAGTGGGATTAAATCAACTCGAGATCTGGGGAAGTACCTTGGGATGCCCATACTGCAAAAGAGGATTAACAAGGATACTTTTGGAGAAGTTTTAGAAAGAGTGTCCTCAAGACTGGCCGGATGGAAGAGCCGCACGTTGAGTTTTGCGGGGAGACTGACCTTAACCAAGTCAGTTCTATCTTCTATTCCGGTTCATACAATGAGCGTAATTTGTCTACCACAGTCCACTTTGGAGGGGTTTGATAGGTTGGCTAGATCATTCCTGTGGGAGAGCTCACCGGAAAGAAGGAAACAACATCTAGTGGCCTGGGACAGAGTTTGTGTACCAAGGCGAGAAGGAGGGCTAGGTATCCGGTCTTCAAAACATATGAACACAGCATTGGTGGCTAAAGTCGGGTGGCGACTGTTGAATGATAAAACCAGTTTGTGGGCTCGGGTTTTGAGGAGCAAGTACAAAGTTGGTGAGTTACAAGAGCCAAGATGGATGGATAAAAAGAAACCAGCCTCATCAACATGGAGAAGTGTGGCTATAGGTTTGAGAGAAGTGGTGATCCGCGGAAGTAGGTGGGTGTTAGGTGATGGTAAGGAAATCCGTTTCTGGGAGGATAAGTGGCTTTCAGATCAGTCGCTGCTGGAGAAAGTGATAAGGGAGGTACCTAGTGAAGACAGGAAGCTGCGGGTAACAGAGTATTGGGCTGAAGGCTCGGGGTGGAAACTCGAGAGTATAATGCCGTACTTACCGCACAATACACGGTTGGAGTTGGCGGCGGTGGTGCTTGATAGCATTACGGGAGCTCGGGATAGGTTGTCTTGGTGTGGTACGGCGGATGGAGCCTTTACGGTGAAGTCGGTGTACTCGTTGTTAACCAGAAATGATTCTCCGAGACAAGAAATGTCTAGGTTCTTTGATCGGATTTGGAAAGTGGAAGCGACTGAGAGGCTAGAGTCTTTTATGTTGTTGGTTGGTCATCAAGCTATAATGACGAATGTGGAACGTTTTCGCAGACATATGTGTAATACGAAGGTCTGTCAAGTTTGTAGAGGTGGAGATGAGAACATACTACATGTCTTACGCGAT